TGAATCCTCAAGAACTTGGTTTGATGACGGCGGACGAGGAGGGTAATGGATATGATTCCAGTTTGTCTGATCCTGATTATGTCAGGCCTAGGCGTCAGAGAAGGGTTCAGAGAAATCCTGATAGAGGAGCAGCAACTTCTTCTGTTGCTGCTCAGGCTCAAGGTGCAGAAACAGGGTTGACTAATGCAGCGAGCGGCAGCTCCTCCAGCGTCAACTACAACCCTGTAGAGAGGAGGACGTCGGGGCACCCTCTTCAGATAAATGATGTGGAAGCAAACAGTGAAAGGAGCGTTCAAAGGAGGAGTTCCATTCCTCCTAGGCGGGGGGCGAGGGAACTAGTGACCAAGAAGACTTTGTTTTCTTGGCTGATTAATATGGGGGTTTTGCATGTCAACCAGAAAGTCTTGTACTTGGATATGGAAAGGAATGCTATTTTGTTGGAAGGGAGTATCAGACAGGGTGGGATACTCTGCAAATGCTGTAGGGAAGAGTTGACGCCATGGCAGTTTGAGGCCCATGCATGTTCTGGTTATCAGTTCCGCTTTTGGCAGCCGTACTGTCACATCTTCTTGCCAAGAAATCAATCCTCTTTGCTGGATCGCATGGTTCTGGCGTGGCATAAACCAGAAGAGATGTCACGACAGACTCCCTATGTCTTTCGTCCTCTAGAAAATGCCACCGATCGAAGTGACGATGCCTGCATTATCTGTGCTGATGGTGGGGACTTAATTTGCTGTGAAAGATGCCCTTCAACATTTCACCTTAATTGTATGGGAATGGAGGTAATTAAAACAAAATTGTTTTTATCAAATCAAATCCTTCCCTTAACCAAATCCCTGCAAGCTAGTCCGAAAGTTGAAACCTTTAGACCCCCAGATTGGAAGTCTAAGTTTTAACTGTTGGAAACTTGGAACGTTCCCTAAAGTGTATTATGGTTTTTGATGCTTTGTTCTGTATTGTAGAAGCTTCCTCAAGAAGAATGGCTTTGTCCATTCTGTGTCTGCAAATATTGTAAAAGCGGGGAAGGGGAACTGCTGAAGTGTACTCACTGTGTGAAAAAATGTATGTATAACATTTCTTCGTCCAAATTCTCTAGTTCCACAGAAACTTCCAAAATTTCTAAAATTTGAAGTTCATTGCAGATCATTGGGATTGTTTCGTAAACCAGCAAGGGAATGACCTGAACTCTACTGGTAGTTTTTCATTCTGTGGATGTGATTGTAGGGAGGTATTTGATCCCAATTTTCATCTCTAAGAATGTTAATATATGTTTTTTTTGGAAAGTATTAGAATATCAGTATTTATTTTAAAATATCATATTCACATTGTAATTGATTATTTACATTTAAGTCATTTAGTATTATACCTAAGAATATTCTTTTATATAGTTTTATACTTAAGAATATTCTATTGTATACATCTATATATAGAACTTTGGTATGTACAATGAAAACAACAAAGCAATAAACTTTTCTTCAAATTATTCTTCTTGTTTCCTATCTCCAATAGGGAGAGACACTAATTTTTGAAATTTGTGAAAGGTTTATGGAACGCTACAAGAAATGCTGGGAGTTAGCAATGATGTTGAGGGTGGCGTTTCTTGGACTCT